GAGTATGTAGTACTGTATCAAAGTTGTTATCCCCTTTTTAGCAAAAGTGTTTTTATTCTTGAATATCTGTTGCGTGCCATGACTTATATTTCAAAATGTCACCACTACAATCCACCGGGAGCTCTGGCACTCGTGCTTTTTATGGTACAAAGACATCATCACTTTTTATCAATCTGCCATGTTTACAGTCAAAGCAGTGCCTTGGAGTTGGGAAGAAGAGATGTTTAAGGATGGGTTATGAGCCCCCGCCCCACTTGTCTCTTACTTGAAATCCCATGAAGAAGAGGCCCAGCTGTATTTGCTCCTTGAATATGATTTATGTCATGTGCCATTTAAGTGCACTTAGGTCAAATCCAGAATGTCCTGCTGATGTTCTTGAGTTGCTTTTTGGCACCTTGTATATTACCTAAAAAACAAACAAAGTGGCAATAACAAATATTTAACACATGTCAAATTAATCCAGTGTAACGGATATACTCACAGTGGGAGCCCGCCTAGTAAAAAGCCATACGTGTGTTGTGTGAAGTCAACTCAGATCGATGCAGCCCTGTGAGTGACGTCTGCTCAGAAAACGAGTCGAGATGTTGATCGTGTAATCTTGGTAGTGGGGAAAGTATCTTGATTATATTCTGAGAAGCCTATTTTATAAGATATGTAAATTAGTCTATATTGAGAAATCAAAGTGAATGTACATCTATGAGACAGATTTGTATTTATATGAAAATGTGTACCGCTCTATTAATCAAAGCACAATGTATTTTATGGCAGAGAGATCAAAGCTAGAATTAGGTGGTGTTTTCTTTATTCCTAATTCATCTTCTATTAGTAGTTCTCGTGAATCGAGTAGACAGCTGTGTGTGCGTTGGCTGTCAGTACCTGCAGCGTTTCTGTTCACTTATATAGACGTATAAAAATACTGTCTGCTGTCTTCTCCCTCCCAGCTGTGGTTCAGACACTCGGGGGGACGTGCAGATCGGTTCAGGATTTGGCCTCTGGTTTAATTTGCCTTTGTGAGGTTGACAGGATGTTAAAATGCTGTGATGTGAGGGGCGGGACGTCCCTTGGCGGGAGGCGATTGGGTCTTGGTTTTGGTATTGTATACAAATCGTAAGCATTTGGCACGTGAAGATTGCATCGATCAATTAGCGACAATTACAGACAAAGGCAATTAGGATTTCTTGACTATGTTAATTGTGTGTGTTTTGTCACCAGGTATGAAAGATCTTAAAGGGTAACTCGAATGATTTTGCACATCAATATGTTAGCGCGTCTTGTGGAGTCAAACAGCATATTGAAATTATTATTATTTTTATTTTCTGGCTCATCAGAAAATTCCTACATTTGTCCCAAAACATGGGGAAGTTTCAGGCAATGTCTTCCCCTCTATCTCCTCTTTTCAACACTTTATCTCTAAAAGGTACTATATGGAACACAAAATACAAAGTGTTTATTGCACAGAGCAAACAGGAGTGTAATAGTCTCAGTGTGGCAGCCAATAATACCCCAACAAATAAATGAAACATTATGAAGTATATTTACAACAATACAACACGTGAAGTCTGATAAATCACCTCAACTGATCAGTCAGTTGTTTAGGACTGAAGTGGGGTGTTGAGTTGGAAAGACTTGATCTGCCCAGACCAAGATATCCCATCAAAAATAATGGCAGTGATGTTGCATTGTGGGCAATGTAGTCACCAGATTTTCACCAACATTGATGTGTAAAATCAGTGCAATTATCTGTAAAACACATTCTCATGTTGCATTATGTCATATGTACTTAGCTGCACAAGCTTTGAGAAATCATAATTTGACCGATGAATATACGTTTAGTTATTGGTTGAGATAATTGAGTCTGAATTTCATTCCAAATATAACACTTGCTGTCTTATTGTGCTGCACAATCATTGGTTGCAGTTTGAAAGACAGAAGAGTAGTTTGTGGTTGTGGATTCTCCTAAAAGCACCTTAAGGTGTAAAAGTGCTATTTCATTTTGTGCTAAGAGCCATTAAAAGACCCTCACAAGTCTTTAGTTTGAGTGTCATTGAAGCACGACCTGATGTAACGTGGCTTCACTGTAGGTGTACAACATCCTCTCTGGGGGGCAGATGATGACATTTCTTTTAAATAAGCAATACAAGCATTTGAACAAATCAAACAAAATGGCTGTCCATCTCAGTGTAACCTACAGGAAGTGGTTCTTCAGTGGCCTTTGGCGAACTGAATGTAGGCTGGATTGTGTGTTGCTCGTTATCGACGTCTGTACTTTACTTTTCTCAAGAAACAATTGCTTATCTCTGCTGGGATGCTTTTTCTTCTCATGCTATAATGAAATCCAAGAAACTGCCTTTACAAACTACGGATAGATGATGGCTAATATTCTGATGAGGCACTCTTCCCTATATTTCTAATCAATCAGGTGTGAATGGATTAGGAGGCAGATCAAACTTTGGGAGCTCTAAAACGATCTTTAGACAGAACTACAATACTTATCATTCTTTTCAAAATCCTTTCTCTTTTTTTTTTAAGACGATAAACATCTTAGCAATGTTTTAGTGTGTGTGCGTGGGTCTGTGTTACTTGTGAGAGGTTAACTCCAGATTGTATTTCATAGACTGATAAACTTTAAAACTTTCAAAAGATTGTGTTGAATGAATTCATGTCTTAATACAGAACTGTTTGAAAAATAAAATACCTTAATCTCATCAGTCTTGGTTTCCTTTCTTTGCACTATGACAAATGTTCATTACATGTCTGACTTTAAATACTTTTCTTTGAATAATTATTGATATTGTGGAGGCTCATATTGACTCTCCAAAATAAAAGGCCCTGCACAAGAGATTTCCTCTATTGATTACAGTTTTTTTTTTTTTTTTTTAAGGTAATTGTTCTTGGACCTTTGGATACAATTAGAGAAAATGAAATAAAGCAGAATAATTAAGTGACTGTTCTGAGTTTTCTACTGGTGTTCAGCAGAGGTGGGAGAAGTACTCGGATCTAACAAGTGACATGTAATGTAATCTTGTACTTGAGTAAAAGTAGAAGTACCAGAGTGTAGGAGTACTCTGTTACAAGTCAAAGTTCTGCATTCAAAATATTACTCAAGTAAAAAAGGTCCATTTCAGAATAATATATATGATATGTTTTATAATGATTGATCATTAAAGTGTTCTCAAAGCTGGTAAAGGTGCAGCTTAATGACTTTGTAGACTGCAGGGTAGCTTGTGAATTTACTCCAGGTGGAAATAAAGTCTGATTTAACACTTGATTATATTTCACATCATGAATTTACAGGTTTACAGGTAAAGTAACTAAAGGTATTCAATACATGCAGTGAAGTAAAAGTACACGATTTACCTCTGAAATGTAGTGGAGTAGAAGTACAAAGTAGCATAACATGGAAATACTCAAGTAAAGTACAAATACCTCAATCTTGTGCTTAAGTACAGTACTACAGTAAATGTACTTAGTTACTTCCCAACTCTGGTGTTTAGTGCTTGTAATACAATAGTAATGAAATGAGAAATGTCCGCTAGTGTTGAACCACATGATGGTGCTAAAATCACTGGATGTGTATCATTTACTTTATGTGCACTTTGCTTTGAAGACTGTGAATATGTCCACTTACTTTTACATAAATGAATAGCCTCAAGGTTAAGGTAAATGTTTTCTTTTTCGATGTAAAACGTGTTTTATCCTGTTTGTGAAGCTGAGACGACGAGGCAGCTGCTGCGCCCCCTGGCGGCTGGAGGTACAAACACTTGAATCTGCACATCGTGTATGAGACACTTCAATCAGAAGATAAGACAAACACAAAGTGAATTATGAATTGTATTATTATCAATACACAAAACTGCAGCCAGTCCGGACTAAATATGTCCCCTAATCTAAGAGCAAACATCCTGAATCTGAACACATGACAGACGTCTAAAAATGCCAATCCTGTTTTTACCTGCCACAATCTGAGCAGTGGAGACCACACACACACATCATTTACACACACTGTTATGTACATTACATTGATATTATTTTTATTACAATAATTTTGATTTGTTTAATAATATCCATCAGTTATGTTCAGCTTCCTTCCTTGTTTTTAATTACATAATATTGTGATTATTGTTGTACCACCTTGTATGTGCTTTGGCAACACTGTGTTTTTGATATGTTCATGCCAATAAAGATTCATTGTTTTTGAATGTTCTTTACCCAAACTATTAGTCTGTTAAACATTGATTAATGATTTGGCAAAAACCATCAGTGTGACCTTACCACGTTGTCTTTCTGCAATAGAAACCGAGCACAGCATATTCCAACTTTGTGTTTTCTTGCCTTTTTTACTTGTTTCCCTCATGGCTTTCAACCTTGCATTATAAACCAATCATCACCCAAATCTTATTACCTAAAGCTTTTTTTTTTATGTAGGAATTGATGGTCAATAGAATTAATTTAAATCTAATTAAACCTAAGAATATAATTTATAAAAGGCAAAACTTTAATAATTTTTCAAAATGTACAGCAGATGACCACAGATCTTTTGAATTTGAATTAAACATTAAACAACCCGTGACCAGTATTTCTAATAACATAATATGGAACCATCCACGTTTTGTTTTTTGTGGCAATTGGATGAAATAACACCTTAAAACATGAAGAAACTGGTCACATTTGAGGAAAACAGGAAGGTTAATAGGATATTTTTTAATTAATTTAACGACAACATTTCAAATGACCCCTCAAAAAAAATTGACCATAATATAAAAAAAAAATTGTGTTATTGTAAAATAAGAATAACTAACTAAAATTGACAAAATTGACCTATGCTGTAAAATGAACAATTGTATAGTTTCTAAATAGCGTGGGAACCTTTCAGGTCAATGTGTGTGTTGCAAATCCAGTACCAGACATATCATGTGTAGTCATATCAAATGGCCAAACTGTACCTCTTTACATCGAGTTCATCACTTCCACAGTGTGTGAATAAAGAAAACCACGATAACTGGCAGGAGAGGCTATTTATTTATTAATATTATGTACAATTATACCATCGTAAAGTCCAGATAATACATTGACAAAGTCAAAGTATGAATACTGGCTCCTGCTTTATTAAGATGTGTCTTATAATGCTTTTATTTTTTCACCCACCTTTTTTGAATCTCAGATCTTTTTTTTAATGTTAATTTAACTGTATCAATATTCTCTATTAATAATCCTTAAAGTGTATCTGAGGCACACAGGGAGAACATGAATAAAATAAGTGTAAAAAATAAAACAAGAAGAGCAGATGTACTGTGTGTGGGGGGTACGTATCTATAAAAACAGTGACTACATAATGTCTCGAGCCAGATGAAAATAAGAGTTGATATTCTCCTCTTTTTTCAGTGTTGATGGACTCACATGACTCTCTCCTCACTTCCTTCACATTAGTGTCGCAGAGATACATGTGCTACCGAGACAAAAATAGTACAGAAATGTTTTGTCTGAAGTGCATTTTGGACTTCATTGTAAACAAAGACAGAGTTGTCCAATAACGTCTTCTCCCCTGTTTAACTGGAGGAGCAGTGTCTCGCAGGAAAAACTATGTGTGTGTGTGTGTGTGTGTGTGTGTGTGTGTGTGTGTGTGTGTGTGTGTGTGTGTGTGTGTGTGTGTGTGTGTGTGTGTTGCTGTCGGTGTGCACAGCTCAGTTCCAGATCTTGAGGAAGCTGTCCCAGGACCCGGTGCTCACCGCCATACCGTCATCCGTCACACCCAGACAGCTCACACGATTGTCATGGCCGGCCAGGACCCCTGCAGGGGGGACGGGGACAGACAAAAGAACACTTGTTACTCTAAAATGTTTTGCTCTCAAGACTGTGGTGAAACTTTTTTGAACACATAGCGACCTTGTGTTTAGAACTGCGTTAACTTGCAACACATTTTGTTAGAAAACAAGGCTCGTGTGAATCAACTGCTAGAAACATTACTGTCACAGCTCCCTTCCTTTGTGTCCTTATAGAGGACATATAACGCTCATTTACGGGTTCATATTAGTAGCCGGAGGGAGCTTTGGGACTATTGACATGCACTAAAACCTATACCACACTACAGGAAAGGGAAAACCCCAAAAGCATAACAGGGCCTCTTTAATCCCCTTAGACGCTTAGATTAGTTACGCATTATCGTTCAATTTGATGTGTGTTTGAATTCGAATGATGATGTTATGCCACTCGTGGTTAATTAAAAAGACAAATCAAATCAAACGAGGGCACCAGTAGTACTCTTACTTGGTATTTGAGTAAATAATTGCAGGTGAAGGTCAGAAACAGAGTTAGTGTACAATGTGTTACATGTCCCCGTGAAGAGATGCCTTTTGTTCGACATCTTATAAACCTAGTTTAGACGATTTTAAGAATCAAGTTGCAAAAAGAAACACAGTAAACTAACTTTTGTAAAACTACTAATATTGTTGACGTCTAAACGGAGTGTCTCTACATTTAAAGTATTACTTTAGAGCAGGGGTGTCTAAACTACGGCCCGGGGGCCAAACGCGGCCCTCGGACCATCTTGAATCGGCCCTCAGAAAGTTCAAAAGGTATAATGGAATATGGCCCACAAATGAAACTTGTGCTTGTCTTATATTGTACTTCTTGAATATAAATGTAAACATATATTACACAGTAGTATTCATGTGTTAATAAGACCACTTTTCAAATAAATTCAGTCTATTAAAGTTGGAAACATTTTAACATTTCCTTATTATAATCAATCTGAGCTGATGAGCTGATACCACTCACAAGCATCATTTACCTCCATTTGATTGATTTTGCTAACTTAGAACTGAACCTATGAGGCGATATACCTCCAGTGAGTGGCCCAGCCCTTCGTATATGTTTCTGTATGTGGCCCTCGGTGAAAAAGGTTTGGACACCCCGGATTTAGAGCTACTCTTTGTCACCCACCTGCTCTGTCTCCCTTCATGGCGTCCCAGATGTTGCAGTTAAAGTCGTCGTAACCGGCCAGCAGCAGGCGGCCGGAGCGGGAGAAAGCCACGGAGGTGATGCCGCAGATGATGTTGTCATGGCAATAGAGGCTGAGCTCCTGGTCGGCACGGAGATCGAACAGCCTGCAGGTGGCATCGTCCGAGCCGGTGGCGAAGGCGCTGCCGTTGGGAAAGAACTGAGGAGGAGGAGGAGGAGGAGGAGGAGAAGAAGAAGAATAAGGATAAGAAGCAGGAAGAGAGGAAAAGGCCCAATTCCAAATGGACGCGCCAAGCCCTTTAGCTAGTGCACAGATTAAAATCTTTGTAGTGGTCAAACGGCGGAACTACAACCTCCGTGTCTGCCCGTTACGTCATTGGACCAAATAATTTATCCCATTGACTTACATTGAGAAAGAGACGTCTGTCGTGTCTCAGCTGATACATTTGTTTTGCCTACTCAACTACAGAGTCTATTAGTACTATTAGGGCCTTGAAGTTGTAAAATGTGCTAAAATCTGTATCCGGAGTTATTTTACCTCTGCTTACATTTGACTGAGCCCGAGAGCAGGAGTTCGAAGGCGGGGCTTGAGGAAAACTCAAGTTCTCTATTGGCCCAGATATGGTACTTTAATGAACAAGGTCCCGCCTCCAACTGTATATCCAGCTCTCTTTATACCTCCATTGTTACAAGTGCTGTTAGAAACTTAAAGATGAAATTGTATTTTCATTTATTTGTGTCTAATCTAGAAAAGTTTGCATTTGATTGCAGGGACCGTCGCAAAAAAACAATCAGCTCGTAAACATCAGATCAAAAAATGAAAATAAGTTTACAAAAAATGAAAATACCACTATAGATTTAGAGTTTTATTACAAATAATATATTAAATAAATCATTTTTTTTGTCCAGGTGATGCTGATTATTAACCGTTGTTGTGAAAAGTTTAAACATTTCCTGTTTCTGCCGGAGAGAGGGGAGTTCTTCCCAACGCCTCGCCTCAAAGAAGGAGCCTCATCAGCTGTGAGTGTGAGTACAGACAGAGTTTGGGGGAGTGAGTAGGGGGTCCGTTTGGAATTGGGCCTACGGAAATACTCTTAACAAGAGATGACAAGTAGGTAAGTCCTTGTTCTACGATTCTCCTTAGCTACTCGCGTCTCTGCTCTCAGACTGAATCTGATCAATTGGAGAGATTTAAAACCAGCAATATGATTTATTGTGGATCCTTCCACCTGTCATGTATGGGCTGTAACCTTTGTGGTGCATCCGTCCGGAATCAGATGGAGTCAGGATGTTCAGATATGGTGTTAATTGATAATCTCGTTAATCCTCTGGCGTGCTCCTAGTTTAAATCCCCCCCCCTAAAGCTGGAGACAAGACAGCGTGTGATGTCACTGCGAGACAAATCCTGGAGCTGCTCTGTTGCTATTAGAGTCAGACGGAGTTCAGGAGGGACACTTTAGACCACTAAGGATAACAGGCTTCTAATTTTAGTTAATAGACAGCACAAGGCAGCTTATTTTCTTTTTTTATCTCGTATATATTTAGATATTTAATTGGCTGGATGAAACTATATGTCTTAATATTGTTTTTATTTATTTTCTGTCAATATGGGTTGACCCTTAGTTCGTTTTTCAATCAACTTTGTGGCTTAATTGTTTTTTTTAAATGGCAAATTAAAGACCATTAATAAGTCCAAGGTGATGTTTTTAAATGTGTTGTCAGTCCAAAACTAAAATATATTGTCTTTTAAATTAAATAAAACAGAGAAAAGCAGGAAATCTGAATTGCTGAAAAAAGCAAATTCTACCATTTGGACATTAAAGAAAAATATTTTAATGACCAATGTGTTATCAAATAAATTGGGTCAACTATTCATGGTGATTTTTAACACCCCAATTGTTTGATTAAATACCACTTCCCATGATAAGTGAGCTTAACTTAAATAAGATCAGGATAAATAAAAATAGTACGTATTTGGACAGTTTGGCCACAGAGCCACCCGCGTAAAAGAAAATTGAGAAAAGCAAGAAAACAGCCATTTCTACCATTTGTACTTAAAAAAAATACATTAACGACCAACGTGTTATCAAATAAATGTTTTTATTTGCCAGTTGACTTATTGACGGGTCAACTTATCTTTGCAGCTCTAGTAAATCTTTCATATTTTGTATTAAATGTAGCATATCTTTTGATTTATGGTGATTTTAAAGACACCAGTTGTTTGATTAAATAAAAACTACTTTGCATGATAAGTGAACTGAACTTATATAAGATAAGGATAAATAATACAAATAGTACGTATTGAGACAGTTTGGCCACAGAGCCACCGTGCCCTTTCACACTCACACAGATGGCGTTGATGTCAGACTCGAGGTGATGTTTTTAAATATGTTGTCAGTCCAAAACCAAAAGATAATGTGTTTAAAATGAAATAAAACAGAGAAAAGCAGGAAATCCTAATATTTCAGAAGCTGAAAACTGACATTTCTATATACAATATATGCGACACTAGGGATTAAGTTGCGCGAGAATTGTGACGATTCTCTCTGACCAATCAGCAGTCGTCACTAGTTTAGCATATTCCGCCCGGTTGTTGGCCCCGCTTGTTGGCCTCGATAGAACCACGATTTAGTCGGGCCAGAAAAAAGGTGAAAAAGTAGCCCCGGGCCAAAACTAGTGGAAGCGCAACCAAAAACAGGCCCCGCACGGCTCGGCACGCTTAAAGCGAGCTCCGCGCTGCAGTGTGAATGCGCCATTAGGGACAGGTTCATCCCACAGGCCATAAGACTGATAAACACCTGAACTTTTGAAAGAACATCCATAACATTCATCTGTTTGCAACTTATATCAATATTCCAATTACTGTATATAGACTATTCTGCACAATTTCTATTATATTCTATTTGATTTGATTTACTATTATCTGTTGTATTGTGTTGCATTGTGGGAGGAGCCTGTGACCTAATGATCATTGATATATCTACACTGTAGCTATGAACACATGAACATAAAAGCCTTGAATCTTGATTAAAGTTTGTAGTTTGGCCACTGCCCTTCCACACTCACACAGATGGCGTTGATGTCCGACTCGTGGCCCGTGAAGGTCTGCCGGCACATGCTGTCTCTGATGTCCCACAGTTTGACCGAGGCGTCGCAGGCTCCGGACACGAAGGTGCGCAGGTCGGGCGACAGAGACAGACTCATGACGTCTCCACTGTGGCCCGAGAACACTGTGGTCTGCTGACTCGTCTCGATGTCCCACAGTGCACTGGGGCAGAGAGAGGGCAGAGAGTTAGACACTGAGCAGAGTGGAAGAACATATGTATTTGCGTTTTAAATCTCTGTGGCTCACCAGGTGGTGTCTCCTGAACTCGTGATGATTTGATTGTCATCGATGAAACGGCAACATGACAGGTAACCTGAGAGAACAGAGGACAGGCGTCAGGGGGAGTTTTTGGGGGTTTTCCCTTTCCTGTAGTTTGTTATTTAGGTTGTTGTGCATGTAAATGGTCTGGAACGCCTCCATTGGACTCCTTTGTTAACTGTTTACTTCTGTTCTATCTAACCCTCGTGCTTCTATTGGCTATAGAGAGGCGAAGTCCCTCCCTCTCCGGTGGACCTCCGGAGAGGGAGGGACTTCGCCTCTCTATAGCCAATAGAAGCACGAGGGTTAGATAGAACAGAAGTAAACAGTTAACAAAGGAGTCCAATGGANAAACCAAAAGCAGAAGAAGAAGAAGTGACGTCAGCGGCTTCATTTGCCTAATCCTCCCTCAGGGACATATGAACATGTGAACACGATTTACTAGATAGTTCCAGGAAATAAAAGTTCCGGGGAAAAGTACTTGTTGTGAACACGCCTTTTGTGTTCTTTGTAACCAAATCTCTCTCAGAGGGGCGTGGGGATGAGTGGCTCCTTATTTTCATCTAAAGTAACAATCAGAGAATCAGCACTTTGGAAACAGGGCTGAAACAGAGGGGATTATGGGATGCTGCAATGATCTGTTTGGTGTTTGGAGCCAAACACTTCAGAGACATGTTTTGTATATATCTGAGACCTATAATATATTGATGAAAAACAGTATGATAGGGAACCTTTACATTTTGACTAGTTAAACGTGTATTAATGCCTCCTTAGATACACGCGATCCCTTTGCGCTCCTCCTGGGTGATGACCTGTGCGTACGCCCCCTCTGGGAACTACGTGGCCTGCGGAGGCCTGGACAACATCTGCTCCATCTACTGCCTGAAGACTCGCGAGGGCAACGTGAGGGTCAGCAGGGAGCTACCTGGCCACACAGGTGAGAAACATGGCGCTCTAAAACCCACTTCTCCTGGAGTTCAACCCTCCCTGTGAGACGAACTGACGCGATGTTTCAGGAGAGCGAGCAGCAGTGCCTCGGCCTCGTGGGAAAGCTCCGCTCCCAAAACCCCTAAACAATGAAGATTTAATTTACACGGTTAATTAATCACAGGGCAGCGGCATCTTAATGAGCTGAGACATCAACTCCCGTCTGCGAGACTCCGCTGTGACACTGTAGCTGCTGAACGTCATTCACAAAATAGGTAGTGACTTTATATCAAGATGAGGCTGCAATGACTTATTTGTACAGAATTTGAAAGGTTTTAAAAACACTTTCTAAGTCCATTATACAGTATGCACATACTTAAAATGACTTGTAATCTGCTTATAGTACTGTATAATTATAGTAAGTAGCACTCATATGTTCTCTTACTGTGTTATAACAATAATCATAAAGCATTTAAGATTCAAGTTGTATAATACGTTATAACTACGGGTCACACATTGCCTTTTTGTGCATGCTTTAGTGTTAAAATGTATTTCTAAGATCAATTATATTAACATTACATTTGATTAAAATAGTGATTAATGCATCATGAAAAGAGGCCAATGTTTTACGACTATGGGAATTATATATAATACGCTATTAAAAAACAACCAGCAACAATAAAGACCAATGAAACAGATTCTCTTGGTGCTCATATTCTTCGAACGACCGTGCTCTTTGAGGGAAAGACTGTGTTATTGTCATGAAGTATCAGGTGTCAAGATCAACAAAACAGAAAGCTCAATAACCAACTCCGTCATAAATAAATAATTTGATGGTTTGATATAAATGCAGGAAATGACATTCACTTTTCCCCCTAATGTTTTGTACAATCAGTGTACTGTTACATAATATTCCTATTTCATGGTTATTGTATTACAGTAGCTTCCACTCAACTATCAACTACCCTTAAAGAGGACATTATGTTAGTGTTCAGGTTCATATCAGTATGTAGTGTCTCTACTGGGACATGTCTCCTTGCTTTAATGTTCAGAAAGCTCTTTATTTTTCTCATACTGCCTGTGCTGCAGCACCTCTTTTCACCCTCTGTCTGAAACCAGAGCCCAGTCTGCTCTGATTGGTTAGCTGGCCGGCTCTGTTGTGATTGGTCAATTGCTTAGAGATGTCCCGCCCCTTAGTCTATCAGGTACAATGTGTGGGAGCTATAGAGTGGCGAAGTCACACCCATCTACTTCCGATCCATGGGACCTTATTTCTGAAATATTATGTATTGAAGTCAATGGAGAGAGAAAACTTATCTTTCCATCCCGTTTGAATTGTGCCATGAATTACACATATGATTTTTTTTTCAATCTTAAAAAATCATTTCCATGTCAAAACAGTCACAGTTAGTCTTAAAACTGTTGAAATATAAGACTATGAAAAATACGCAACTAGAAAGACTACAAATCCCAGAGTCGCGTACATTAACGTTACACATTACACTCGTGTTTCCAAAACCTTGTAAAGCCGGTCCCGCATGCTGGCTCTTACGGAACCGACTAACTCCCCTTGTGTGTATGTACAGAGCTCAACATGCCCAGACTTGTAGTGATTTTCACCTATTTTAATACTTTCACTTCATTCTGAAAGAAAGAGGTGAAATGTGCTAACGTGACGGCCATCTTGGTGTTG